GTCTGCAAGATAAAGTCCATGCCTTTAAGCTACGGACATAGAGCTCTTCAGTTCTCAATCCAGAGCCCCAGTTCATACAAAGTAACAGAGTTTTCGGAGGGTGACAGGCCAGAAATCAGGATTTTAAAAAGATTCCCAGGTGATTCTAATGTGCAGCCAAGGTTGAGAACCACTTACTTAGAGTCATAGAACTTCAGATCCATGAGGCAACCTACTGGACAGCCCTGCTTCACTCCTTGGTTGTTGACAGGACTCACCTGTGTTGAATTGTGTACAACTAAATACAGGCCACGCCTGGGGAATGAATTATATTTGGAGTATGCAAATCCTTTGTTCTGTAATGGTTGGCCGTAGATAATTCTGGCAGTTAAATAAAAGAAAGTCTGCTAGGATGCTCCCAGGAAATATTTTACTTTTTTAAAAAAGATTTTTAAAAATTGAATTTTAGAGAGAGGAAGGGAGGGGGAGGGGAGAGAGAGAGAAACACACTGATGTGAGAGGGAGATATCAATCAGCTGCCTCCTGCATGCCTCTATGAGGGATTGAGCCTGCAACCCGGGCATGTGCCCTGACTGGGAATTGAACCAGAACCTTTCAGTGCACTGGACAATGCCCAACACTGAGCACACCTGCCAGGGCAGACTTTACTCCGTGATAAAAGGAGAGATTCAGGAGGAGACTTCCTCTCATACCCCTACCTTTCTGCACTTGATACTCTCGTGAGAGTCTGTGATGCTTAAAGCTGCAGCATTCAATTTGTGACCAAGAGGGACAGTGTGAAGACAAAGCAAATGGCAAAGCAGAAGGAAGGAAAGAGCCCAGGTCCTTGATGACATCTTTGAACCACTGCACCAGCCCTAGAGCCATCATGACTCCATGATCTAGTTCGAGAGAGAAGTAAATGTCTTGATTGCTTAAACTGCTGCTACCTACCTGGAGCTAAAGGCTTCTACAAACTTGAAGGGACTTTTATCTCTTTAGTGCAACCTCCCTTATTTTACAGCTAAGGAAACAAGGATACAACGGCAATATAAGAACCAAAGACCAAAGCTAAGCCAGGACTCTCAGGCCTGTGTTCCTTGGACCACATTATGCTGCTTATTTTACTTGACTTTTTTTAAAGCAATATTAGGCACAGAGTACTCTACACATAGGGATCATGGGGTGGCTTCCCACTACAGTTCAAAACAACTGGAATCCAACCACATCTGAACTTGTCAAAACTGCTGGATCCTGCCCAGCCGGTGTGGCTCAGTGGTTGAACATACGCCTATGAACCAGGAGATCACAGTCCGACTACTCGTCAGGGCACATGCCTGGGTTGCAGGTTCAATCCCCTGTAGGGGGTGTGCAGGAGGCAGCCAATCAATGTTTTCTCATTGATGTTTCTATCTCTTCCCCTCATTGAAATCAATAAAAAAATATAATATTTTTAAAACTGTTGGATCCTACACATGTGAAAAACGATAATTTTATGCTAATTGTCTTAAATTTTTAAAAAAGCAGCTGATTCCATCAGGGAAGCGTCTAGTCAGCTTTCAGTGACTCCCAGTCACAGCCTTTCTTCCCTCTTGGTTCACTATTTTATTCAGAGTTCTTCCTTTGTATTATGCTCTCTTAGGCACAATAAACATAATTACAGCCCTCAGGGGTTGTAAAGCTAATAGAAAAGACAGAAAATAAACATGTAAACACACAAATACGTAATTACAAATCAGAATGAATTTGGCCAAACCAAAATGAATAGGATGCAGATAAGAGAAAGACAAGAAGACCTTAAACATGAGATATCTGGGAAGATCTCTTAAGCAGAGCTAAAAGTTGAGGAGTAAAACATTTGAAAGATGGAGAGAAAATTATTCCAGGCAGAACATAATGTGTAATGCTCAGACAGGAAAGGATTTTACTTTCTTAAACAAAATGTGAATGAACCTAAGATGAGGCTAGGGCCAGCTCATAGCATAGGAAGGAATCTGGATTTTTAAAAAATATGTTTCTATTGATTTCGGGGAAAGGGGGAGATAGAAACATCAATGATGACAGAGAATCACCAACTGACTGCCTCCTGCACCAGAGCCCCACTGAAGCCAGTCCTGCTCCATAGGGTTGGCCTCTGCACAGCAGCTAAGGACAGTCTTCACAACCAATGGGCCTGGGCGGGGGCGGAGGGGTGGCACCTGGAGCACCAGCTCGTGTGATAGGAGACTGCCACTGTGCTGCTACATAAGGCTACTCTACTAAGACTGGGAGATATAGCAGCTCTACCTCATACATAGAAACAAACACAGGGAGGCAACCAAAATGAGGAAACCAAGAATGAAAGAGTAGAACAAGCAATCTACTAAATGCAGAGTTCAAAACACTTTATAAGGATGCTCAATGGACTTAGGGGAAGAGTAGTTGAACTTAGTGAGAACTTCAACTAGAGTTAAGAAATATAGCCCTAGCCAGTTTGGCTCAGTGGATAGAGCGTCGGCCTGCAGACTGGGGTCCCGGGTTCGATTCTGGTCAGGGAGGGGCATATACCTTGGTGGTGGGCACATTCCCAATAGGCAGCTGATTGATGTTTCTCTCTCATCGATGTTTCTAACTCTCTATCCTTCTCCCTCTCTATAAAAAAATCAATATTTTTTTAAAAAGAGAGTTAAGAAATATAAAAGTGGAGATAGAAAACAAAAAAGAACCAGTCAGAAGTGAAAAATACAGTAACTGAAATGAAGAATACATTACACGGAATCAATAGTAGAGTAGATGAAGCTGAGAAATCAGTGATTTGAAAAATAAGGAAGCAGTAAATACCCAATCTGAAAAACAAGCAAAAAAAAAGGGGGGGGGATAGTATAAGGGACGCTTGAAACCACATCAAGCATACCAACATTCACATTGTGGGTGTGCTGGAAAGAAGAAAGAAAGCAAACCTTTCTCAAAAAAATGATGAAGCTGTAACTGGTTTGGCTCAGTGGATAGAGCATTGGCCTGTGGACTGAAAGGTCCCAGGTTCAATTCCGGTCAAGGGCATGTACCTTGGTTGCAGGCACATCCCCAGTAGGAGGTGTGCAGGAGGCAGCTGATCGATGTTTCTCATCGATGTTTCTAACTATCTGTCTCCCTCTCTGTAAAAAAAAAATCAATAAAATATATATATATATATATTTTAAAAATTATGGAAAGCTAGTTCCCTAATCTGGTGAAGGAAATAGACATACAAGTCCAGGAAGGACAGAGTCCCAAAGAGGCCCACACCAAGACACATCAAAGTCCTGGCCAGTTTGGCTCAGTGGATGGAGCATTGGCCTGTGGACTGAAGGGTCCTGGGTTTGATTCCAGTCGAGGGCATTTGCCCAGAGTGCAGGCTCTGTCCTCATTGGGGGGCATGCAGGAGGCAGCCGATCAATGATTCTCTGTCATCATTGATGTTTCTATCTCCCCCTTTCCCTTCCTCTCTGAAATAAATAAAAATATATTTTTAAAAAGACAATTAAAATACCAAAGGTTAGAGACAAAGAATCTTAAAAGCAGCAAGAGAAAAGCAGTTAGTTACCTACAAGTGAGCTCCCATAGGCTGTCAACTGATTTCTCAACAGAAACTTTATTGGCCAGAAATATTCAAAATGATGAAAAACAAGGACCTACAACCAAGACTACCTAGCAAGGCTCTCACTTAAAACTGAAGGAGATGCCCAGCCAGTGTGGCTCAGTGGTTGAATGTTAACCTATGAACCAGGAGGTCATGGTTCAATTCCTGATTGGGGCACATGCCCAGGTAGCGGGCTCAATCCCCAGTAGGGGGCATGCAGGAGGCAGCTGATCAATGATTCTCATCATTGATGTTTCTGTCTCTCCCTCCTTCCTCTTTGAAATCAATAAAAAAACATTTTTTTAAAAAAACTGAAGGAGAAATAAAGAGCTTCCCAGACAAGAAAAAGCTAAAGGAGTTCATCATCATCAAACCAGTATTAGAAGGAATATTAAAGGGACTGTCTATTAAAGACCCATCTCACAAAAAACACACACATCCTAAATGTAAAGAGATGGAAAAAGATACCTCATGCAAATACAAAAAAGAAAGCTGGGGTAACAATTCTTATACAAGACAAACTTTAAAATAAAGGCTATAACAGTAGACAAAGGAGGACCCAGCAATTCCATTTCTGGGTGTTTATCCAATGAAATCTAAAACACTAACTCAAAAAGACATATGCATCTATATTTCTATTGCAGCATTATTTACAATAGTCGACATATGGAAGCAATCTAATTGTCCATAAACACATGAATGGATAAAGTAGAAGTGGTGCATATATACAATGGAATGACTTAGCCATAAAAAAAGAATGAAATCTTGAGGGGGACCAAGATGGCGGCATAGGTAAACACCTGAACTTGCTGCCTCGCACAACCACATCAAAACTACAACTAAAAGACAAAACGGCCGAAACCGGTTTGGCTCAGTGGATAGAGCGTCGGCCTGTGGACTGAAAGGTCCCAGGTTCGATTCCGGTCAAGGGCATGTACCTGGGTTGCAGGCACATCCCCAGTGGGAGATGTGCAGGAGGCAGCTGATCGATGTTTCTCTCTCATCGATGTTTCTAACTCTCTATCTCTCTCCCTTCCTCTCTGTAAAAAATCAATAAAATATATTTAAAAAAAAATAAAAATAAAAATAAAAGACAAAACGGATATCATCCAGAACCACAGGAAGGCTGGCTGAGTGGAAGTTTGACAACTAGAAGGAAAGAGAAAAGTG